GCATTAGTTGGCTAGGTTCATGCATCACACGATCCAATCATCTACAGTTTATAAACCATAGACGGTGGGTTCATAAAGCATACTGCACTAAAACCAGACAAACTCCATTATGGCTTAGTATGATGTGTAAATTCAGTCCCTGTCCTACATTTAAGAGTTTCTGTGAAGATAGGATGGCATTGTGTACAGTGCTTTGAACTTCTTAGAGAAAAGGTGAGCTACAAATGTGTTATACAAATTAATAAAGGATAAATGCCAAAGGTGTAAGACAGAAAGAAACAAGTGTATATTTCCAATAGGCTTGATGAATTAAACAAGATAATGAAAAGATCTAGAAGATGAAGTCATCGAAGCAAAGAAAGGGCTTGCTGGAGAGGGCCAAAAGGAGTAACTTAGTACCATAACACATCATTTGCTTTTCATCCAAAGGACCCAGGTTTAATCACTGGCATCTTCAGAAACAGTAGAAAAAACTTTTCACTGAAAACAGTGAGCTGCTGCCAGTCAGTTTCAACCATTAGGAATCAGAGGGGCCAGTAGTCTGGCTCAGTATAAACCTGTATTACCAAATAAATGTTATGTTTTTGTTTTATTCGAAGGAAACAGATTAAGAGATTTATTTCTCATATTAATGTGAAAGAGTGTACTTAATACTGGTTATGTGTCTTTCATGTACTCTGATGGTAGAAAGTTGTAAAGTCTCTTTCAAGACGAGGGCAACAGCTTATGACTTCATGGACAGAGCAGCAGCATACAAACTATTTGCCATTGTCTCCTCCTGATGTTTTTTCCTCACTCTAACCTGAGGCCCTGGAGATCTTCCTTCCAAGTCCTAAACAGGCCCAGCCCTCTTTAGCCTTCTGAGATCAGCCAAGGTCAGACAGGTGATGTCACCTACTAAGATGGTGAGCCCTTAATTAAGGAAGTTTAACATTATTGTGCACGGAAATCCAGAATCAGAATAATTGACACAAGTAATAATGCCAAGTAATGTTGGGTAACAATGCAGCAGCTACGTATAGGAATATCTAGCAAGTAGACCATCAGTACTGTCAGATATGGCTGGTAGAGAGGGCAACACTGAAGTTGTAGAAATTTCAACGTTAGGAAACGATATGGCAGCCATTAGAGATAATGGTTTTAAGGGAAAAGAATAAAATTATGGAAGGACGTGGGACATCATACGTGCATTCTGTTGCTTAGGTGTCATCCATGGCTGGTTTTCAGGCCTGTTGTTTTGTCAGCCTTATCTTTCGGTGCCTTCACTATACTGACTTGATGCTACAGTCAGGCAGCATGATGTCATTTTTAGGCATTGCAGTACTTATTCTAAGGCATTTCGTGGGGGTTGATGTTGCCGTGGCAACTCAAGTTGCGACTCTGGAAGTGTGAGGGGGTGGATGCAGTTACTACTGTGGCAGTGGCGATGACTTTGGGAAAATCTTCCAGCAGTTTGTTATGAGGAAGAACCAGAGATATGCTGCCACAGAGCTGTGAGATTGGGACTTGCAGACGAAGAGCTTCTAGGACTGCCACTTCATAGGCATCATGTAACTAGGGCAGTGTTGTCCAAACTTGACTGCTTTAAGACGAGTGGACTTTAACTCCCAGAATTCCCCAGCCAGCCATGCTGGCTGGGGAATTCTGGGAGTTGAAGTCCACTCCTCTTAAAGCCGCCAAGTTTGGATAACACTGAACTAGGGTATCTCATTAACCTCTTTTTTGTTTTAATATGGGGGAAAAAAAGCATTGGAGGCTCACCCCTGCTGCCATATAATTCTATGAATATTACAGATGATTGCGCAATAAAAGCCTTGTCCAAAAGCACCCTAAAAATCACAAGATACTATTAGCATCTTAGACCATGATGCCTAAAATTATGAAGATGGCAGAAGCATGAAGTAGTTTCTGTATGCTGAAATATTCTCATTCTCCAAGCCCAAATTGGCTACGGGATCAGACTATAGAATTAAAATGGCACAATCCACACACAAGAGAATTGGTGAACTGGCACAGTGGAAGATTGTCACACTTAGAGGATGGGAGGGAAGAACATATGGGGAGAACCCCTTCCATTAAAATTTAAAGGGGAAGCAAGGAAACGCAGAACATGTAAATTAGGACTGAATATGCTCAGTGGGCAGAGAAAAGAAAGGCCACAGCTGACTGAATCATCGAACAACAGCGCTGCACAATGCATTTTATTGCAAGTCCCAATTGTGTAAATGTAGTACCTCCAATTTCCTGTCATTTTGCTATGCTTTAGAAATGTTCTTTCAACATTCAGTAATCGTTGCTGGAGTCACTTAAAATGATAGAGAACAGAAAAGTAACAGAATAGCACAGAGTGTTTTAAGATAGAGAAGTTTTAGGCCAAAATAAATAAATAAAATAAAATAGAAATTGTACAAAACGTTGCCATTGATTTCAAAGTGAAGAAGTAACAGTAGTGGAACTTTTCTGATTTACAGTTACTTTCCTTACAATAGCATCATTGTGTTTTTCTTATTGTTTCCTTAAAGATCCTAAATGATTACAAAACATTACTTTACTTTCATGAGATTATATAATTTTGCATAGCGTTGATTAACTAACAAAGAAGTTTTATTTTAGACATGGATCATACTTCACATTTGTGCAAGGGGCAGACAATAATGTGAAATGGGCAGGTTACTTCATACATGCGAGACTGGACTTTTCCTATTTGCCCCTCTCTTTTGTATGGAACACTAATAACATTTTTTTCCTACTGTTTCCATGGCTCAAAATTATGTGAAATCCCACAGCCAATATTCTTTTGAAATTCAGTGGTGTGATCAAAGGGAACTGCAAAAAAACTAAAATTCCAGACATGCACACAACTTGGAGGCCACAGATTGTTTCAGGCTCAGCTTTTGTTCGATGGTTCCTGATTATTATCTAAAAGATTCTTTCCTTTAGCCTCTCTCCTATATTAATATCTTAATGGGGACGTTCAAATTACGTGACAATGCATATGACTTGTCATGTAATTTTAATGTTCCCAGAAAGATATTAGATTAGCAAATGTATCTGCTCACTCCAGGTGACTCTTCTCATTGACATGTGGCAACCTAGGAAACAGTGATCCATTTGAATGTATGTTGTTAACTACTGAGTATTTATTTCTTCATGCAGGTCGCCAGGCAGCATGGCCCTGACTGGTTATAAATTTATGGGGCTGTCATGTGAACACTTCCAGTGAGGTATTAATATTGAAGAAGAATTGGGGGGGGCATGTTGTTGGGGGAAAAAATCATTTATAAATTTCATTATGAAAGTCAACCAGTGGAACTTCAGTTTAAGAGAGATTGTTTTACTTGGTAAATTGTAGTTAAACAGCAAATGAGGATAAGTCCATACAAGAAATGAGGCAACAGAGCATAATTTTGTCAAATAACTCAGTAAGTAAGACACAAAATAGGTTTGTTAAAAGAACATTTGCTTTTAAGATAGTATAGAACTATAAAATTATCTTCACAGTTCACTGCTATACATTTTTTCACATTAAAGTTTTCTTCTGTCTATCTGTGTACTATTACAGAGCTGTGCTGAGCACTTTCTCCCCTCCTTCTTTTGAGACTGGTGGGGGGTGTTCTTTGCCAGGAAGAGCTGAATGGCACTCAGGCTGTTGGCAGATGGAACTCTCTCTGCACTGGAGGTCAGCAATGAAGAAAGCCATTTTTATTAGGTGTCACGTCTTCCCAGATACAGGATTTTTCTGTATGTTTCTTGTAGCAGGCTGAGAATTAATCAAGACAGAAATGGGGGATGCTGGAAACATTTTTATAGAGTGCATATTTGGAGAAGCCGAAGGAATGAGTGGGAGGAGGCTACACATAACAGACTATAAAACTTGAGTTTGATAAGTATCCTTTAATCCAGGGTTAGGCAGACTTCTGGTTTGTAGGATTTTCTTTTTTTTTAACTAGGGCACCAGAGGTTGGTGCAAAATATATTAAAGAAAGCTTAATATCCCAAGACATCTTCGTTTCAGTAGTATGATTTGGAAGGATAACTTTCTGTTGCTCCTATAGTTAAAAAAGATGAGTCAGAAATCATTTGCTGGTCTACTGCAAATCAGTCAGAGATGCTCTATGGTGCCAGAGATATCACTGACTTTCCCTACCATTTTTTACCCCAAAGCTTTGAAAAAGCTAAAGTCTCCTTCTAGTTACAGTCTATTACCAGAGTCTAAAATGTGAATTTTTTGACAGCAAAGCCAAATTGTATCCCTACATTGCCTTCTTCCGGAATGTTCTTCGACTAGTCTAGCCTAGTGGCCTGGGATTTCCTGGTGGTCTCCCATCCAGTTACTAACCATATCCAACCCTGCTTCGCTTTTTGAGATCAGCCAAACAGTTAGGTGCTGCTACCCGCATTTAATAACAGTGGTGGCAGGACCTGTCTCAGGTAAATAGTGCTTGGGGAGAGAAAGCGGCAACGCACAAGCAAAAAGCGGGAAAAACGAGGGTTGGGCGGAGAGGGAAGGAGCGGACTATCCGTCCCCACCCCGCAAGGAGCAAATGTACGCAGCAGCAGATGTCGGCATCCCTGCACTGCTCGGCGCTGCTGGAGGGCATCACCCGGCAAACACGGACTCCGCGGGTCGCCCAGAACCTTTACATCCGGGTCTCACCCGTTCCAAGCAGCCACTTACGCAACAGCTCGCAGTAGCAACAACAGGGCGGGAGCGCGGGAGCGAGTGCGCACGCACACCCGCGCCACAGCGCTCTCTCGCTCTTCCCCACTCGCAACTAAGAGTCCTTTAAGCAGGCGGGCACAACAAGAGTGTTATCCTCGATCTCACTCGTTTACTCTTCAGCCGCACGGTTCGGATTGGTTGGCTGGATGGAGGGCGGGAAATAAGCATCCTCTTTGGAAGGGTATTGGGCAGCAGGCGCAAACCCTGCTCCGCGATTGGCCAAGAGGCGGGCAGGGGCTTGATGCGGGGGGAGAAGCCATTGGCTGGAAAGTAGGTTAGTGGTGCGACGTTCAGCGGCAAGCCAGGCGGAAAGTAGGTCAGGTATAGGGGTTGCTTGTGCCGGGCGTCGTTTTTTTGGCTACGCTGGCGAGCCGCTGTGGGGGGAGGCCACGGACGACACCCCCCTTTTCTAAGCACGGTGAGGACTCGGAGGTGAGGGAGGGCTGCTACCTGCAGTCGGGCTGGCAGGAAGGGTCGGGGCGGCGGCGTTGAAGGAGAGGAGAGGAGAGGAGAGGAGAGATGGTGGAGGAGATTCCCCTTTGATGCCCGCGCGCGAGGAAGGGGATTCCTCTTCTGGAACGTCCCCGGCAGGCTGGGGAGGGGGCCTCTGCCGGGGGTGTTCCCGCGCCGGCTGCGTTCTGCTTCGGTCTTCTCCCTGTACAGGTGGGCGGAGGACGCGAGCGAGCGCTGGGCTGTAATGGACACATTGTTTATGGATCTGAGTAGAGCTGGACGGGTGGGTGCGCGCCTACGGACGGGAGAACCGAGGGCACGAGAAATGGTTTCAGGTTTCAGGGTAAGGTTTCAGGTGCGGCGGGGCTGTGGGGGGCTCCTGCTGCCATCCTCGCCTCCCCCTTTCCTCCTGGGGATGACTGGGGAGACTTTTCCTCCTTGGGGTCTCTGGCGCTGTTATCGGGGCGCCCGCTCAGGAGAGGTGCGGGAATGGAAGAGGATCTATACTTAGGCAAAAATAATTCTCCCTTTCGTCTAGGTTATATCGTGGGGCATTTGCTCAGGAGAGAAGTGGAAGTGAAATTAGATGCTCTTCCTCTTGATTGGAGAGCAGGGAACAGCGTTTATTTACATAGGGTTGTCCTTAAAAAACCTGTAGCCCTGCAGTGGCAGTTCGTGGCGTTTGTTTGACGGGACTTTTTTCAAACAAAAATCCGGTCCAGTGAACCTGGGATGGAACCGACATCAGAACTCTGTTTCCCCCCCGCTTTTCTTGCTTGCTCTTCTTCTTTCCTCTTTTCTTTATTTTTGGAAACAGAGTTGCTGGAAACTCAGCTTCTAGGAAAGCTGTAATGATCTTTTTGCTTTAATGTTTCTGCGTGGAAACTCCGACAAATGTTATGAGTTAATTCTTAAGCATGTTAGGCAAATAGGCGGAGAGTCAAGGAGAAAGTAGAGATGAATGGGTCCTGTTTTCCTAGGAAAGAAATCTGTTTATAGTACTTAGAATGAAGTCCTGTTGATTTTCATCAGGACCTAACTTTCTGGTAATTGGACATACCAGTCCCTTTTCTGGATTCTGATGCTTTAAACCTTTTTCTATGAAAAGAGATGTCAGCTACATATTAAGGTAGTCTTCTGTGGTTTGGATTTATAAGTAAGACTCATAATACTTATAATTGATAACATTTTACACCGAATTAGATGCTGTAACAGTGTAATGAAGAATGCATGTGCGCTTTATGTGTTATTCTTGCTTTTAGTGAGTGCCTACTGCAATCACATTTTTTAAAAGATCTGACACATTTTATCTACGTTTAGCCAATATTCCATCACTCTTTTAATACAGATCTTGATGCGTAATTATATATTTCATGATATTTTTCAGCATAAGAAGTTTACCTCATTTCAGCCTCATGCTGAAATAAAGCCTGAATGAATTTGGTTTAAAATGTAAAACCTCAGACATTCCATTATGGTATTTCAAGAAATTTGAGGGGATTAAAATATCTAGAATGGAAAGAAAAAAAAAATTGCATTACTATTGATGAAGTTTCTGTCATAATATATGCCTAACAATGCAATCCTTTATGTGTTTGAAAGGAAGTCCTACTGTATTTAATGAGCCTTACTTCCTTACTTAAGGATTGCATCCTGAAATTTATTGACAAGATGACCTTTTAAAGGTTAAGATAACATTATGATAATGTGAAATCTAATCTTGCTGTCTGAATAGTTTGAACTTTGGAGTCCTTAGTGCTCTCTGAGCTTGGTTATTTGCTTACAGGCATTTCATTACCCAACTAGGTAACATCATCAGTAGTTTGAACTTCTTTCTCCCAGAGTTTTTAAGGACTAGTATCTATTTTTAAAGAGATAAGACTGAAACATCCATTTCCTCTTTGTTTGCTATGTTTTGAAATATTCTCTTTTCTTTCTCACATTCCAAAAGTTCTGTTACATCTGGGTATCTAAATAACACACTGGGCTCTGTCTGCTCTTTTATGTTAGAGCCCTTTTAGACATGTTTTCTTTCACATACATGAATACTCAGGGCAACAACAATGACAACGTCTTAATTACATGTAGGTAGAATGGTAGTTTCAATTCTTAGGTAAATCTTTGTTAAATGTTCCATAACTGCTGCTACTGTGGGAATAGAACATAATTCCAGTCCAAGAAGTTGTTTTGATTGATTATTGATATACCGTACCTAAGAGCTTCACTTCTGGGGGCAAAACATATAACAATGTGAATTTTAGAGACAGTCATTACAAGATATGTCCTTGTCTATCTCGCTTACTAGTTGCTCAGACAAAGAATTTTAGGAGGACTCTCAAATGCAATTAAATCCCAACACACATAGTTAGGAATCCAATTTCACTTGGAAGCAAGGACTTCTCTAAGCACAAAAATAATGTTAATAAGACATATGATATCCTGAGTCCACATAATGTATGGAGGCTGGTGGGATTTCCTTTCAGTGGAAGTAATCAAGCTGCTGTTTGATTATTTATTTTATAAACAGTGTTGGTTGCCTTAGCTTTGGCTGTATACCATATATCAAGCAAGAATACTGTTATTGTAACTCTATATACTTAATTGCCCAGTGAATTTAACTGAGGTTTAATTTTGAATAAAAATGTACATGACTCTGTTAAAGATAATGACCCACAAAATCTAGTTTTTAAAATGCCAAGCATATGAGAAGCAATTAAGAGGTGGCTACTTTTTAAAGGGGAAAAAAAGCTAGCTTGTATTTCAAAAGTAGTGTGGTTGTTGGGCCAGGTGCATTGGTCTCATTACTGATCTTGCTGACAATACCCAGTAAGCACTTGAGCTGTGCATCTACTTCCCACATAATAGTCACAGTATTTATGAATATGCTTGTTCAGAGGAAGAACATTTTCATAGCAACAAAATATTTTGATCTGAATGCTTAGAAAATACAATATTTCTGCAGCTAAAACACTGCTTTAGAACACTTTACCTAGATACCTGGATCCCATACAACATGTTCGTCATACCTGTGCTATGAACTGGTCATCAGAGAGATACCAGTATTGAAATTAGTATTAATTGCTTTCAAGGAAGTGTGTTCAAGACTAGGTGCAAATAAAAGAAGTTAACCTTGACATTATGACTAACCTATTAGTTGTAGTAGCTGTATTACTTCTAAACAACAGATTTAATTAATCTGAGTACCTGCTCAAACTCTGGGTTTATAAGTTAAAATGAAGTATAGCAAGTAAAGATAATACAGTTACTTAAACTATCAAACTTTAGCTTAGCTAAAACTTTACATTACTTCATAAAACATTCATGATTTAGAACAGGTGGGATTGTTGAAATTATGTACTGAAAGATAATCTAGGACTAAGATTGTTTTGGTCAGCTTTTTGTCAGCTCTATCAGAAAGATGCAAGTATGTTGAGCCCAAACCATGTCACCTAAGGGTTTTTTTTTTTAAAAAAAAAAAGAAGTACAACTAGAGTTAGAATGCAATTAATATGTTTCACTAGACATTCTTAAAACTGTCTTCAAGCAGTAGCTGTGAGTCCAGGAGGACCCCCACATTGCACACTAGTCTTAAAAGGGGAAGGACAGCCCCATCCAAGACCACCAGTGGTAACATCCCCAACCCTGGGGGTTCAAACAGCCACAGTTAATCATGTTAGGACTGAGCCAAAGTCTGTTCCACCCTATCCAGACCCAAACAGTCTCAAGACACTGAGTCAGTACATTGACAGCTTCACTCGTGCAGCTCGGTGTTGATATGCAGAGCTAGGTATCATCAGCATACTGATGATACAGAACCCCAGACTGGTGGATGACTTCACCCAATGGTCTCATGTACATGTTGAATAGGAGAAGGGAGAGTTGAGCCTTGAGGCACCCCACATGAGAGGCTGCAGAAGTGATCTCTCCCCCCGTCAATGCCAACTAGAACCATAGAGGAAGGATGTGAACCACCAACGCACAATGCCTCCCACTCCTAACCCCCGCAGCCAGTCTAGAAGGATATTGTGGTCAACAGTATTGAAAGCCACTGTGAGATCAAGAAGCACTAGGATGGATGCACCACCCTCATGCTGGCTCTGCCAAAGGTCATCAACAAGTATGACCAGCGCTGTCTCTGTACTCAGTCTGAAACCAGATTGAAACGGCTCCAGATAATATGTTTTCTCCAAGATCCTCCATAACTCTCGTCCAACTGCCTTTTCCACAACCTTCCCCAAGAAGGGAAGATTGGAAACTGGCCGATAATTCTCTAACAGGGAAGGGTCTAATGATGACCTCTTGAGGAGGGGGTGTACCACTGCTTCCTTCAAGTCTGGTGGGACCACCACCTCTCTCAAAGAGGCTGAAACCCCCATATGAACCCACCCTGTAGCCACCTCTCAGGCTGCCTTAATAATAACCCAGGAAGGCCAGGGTCTAACAAACAGATGGCTGCGCTAACAGACAGAAGGACCTTGTCCACTTCCTCGGACATAATAGGATCAAACTCAGTCACATAACATCACAAGACTGTCTCTGGGCAACTCACTTAGGCTTGCCCAGCCAGAGTCCACCTCTGAGTGAATCTGAGTGATTTTGTCAACCAGGTAGCATAAATATTCCTCACCATGGCCCTGCAGATGATCCTGTGATCCAGCTCCTCTCCCCCATAGGGAACAGATCACCCTAAACAAGGCAATTGGGCAGCTATCAGCAGATGCAATAAGGATGGAGGAATAGCAACTTTTCACCACCCTTATCACCATGATGTAGGCCCGAATATGGGCTCCCACTTGTATTCGGTTGGATTCACTCTTTGTCTTTCTCCAACTGTGCTCCAGGCATCACTTCTGGCACTTCATCTCCCAGCACTCGTCAGAAAACTGAAGAGGACCCCAGGATTGGTGTGCAGAGAGAGGCTGCATAGGAGCAATATGGTTCAGGGCCTTAGTCATATGCTTGTGCCAGGCTGGAGCCAAGGCCTCAGACGAAATGCATGACAGATCCTTGGGAAAAGCCCCAAGCTCCCTTTGGGACCCAGCGGGGTCCATCAGTTGCCTGGGGCAGGCCAACTTGTCAGGCCCTGTCAGATAACAGAAGTGGCTGATTATATACAATAGCAATTAAGGCTACAGTTTTTTTGTGCCTGCTAGAGTAAAAATATATGCTACTTCTGAGTAGAAATATATCAGATTGCAGTGTGTGATGGGAAGTTTGCATGAAAAGGTATCTCTTTACTCTGAGTGTAGCTAATATATTTTGGAAGTACTTCATCTATTCTGCTAACAACCACTAAGTTATGGGCTATTATGTGAGGAGAATAGGAAAAAAGGTACTGCATTAATGAGCTTATCCCCTTACATAAAAGGTAATCGTTCTATAGAGAACAGTATAAAGTAGCCCCCAACGTAGTTCAAAGTTCTGCTTAGAACTGAAGAAAATACAGTATATAAATGGACATATTTTAGAAGATTAAATGATAACTCCTCCACATATACAAAATGAGAGGAAAAGCTAACCACCTACTGAGGTAAATGGGAAAAAATCAGTAATTTCTCACACCCCCAGAAGCTGGTTGTCTGTAGGTACACACTTAACATGATTAAGCTGTCATTGAGGTTTAACTCTTTTTTTACATACAGAATTCCAAAACCTAGTTGTTGTTTCTCATTGTGTGCTTTCTTCTTCAGTACTTATCTCTTAAAATGTCAGTGGATAGTTATTATGACCCGCATGCCATTTTACAAAGGTGAGATAACATTCAGAGAACAACTTTTGGTTTATTTAGATTATACAATTATAGAGAAGGATTTGTTGGTTGAGCAGTTGGGCTTTATTGTTTTCGTGACCTGACTTTAGCCAAAGTTCTGGGTAGTTGAATTAGCTATTTTTTTAGATCCTAGACCAGGGATAAGCACACTTTTTGAGCTGGTCCACCCATTTGGAATTTGGAGAGACTAGATGCTTTCATGAAATGACTGCTGAGCAGGAATTGGCCAAAGATCTAGTTACCAGAAGGCAAACTGGTTCTTCCATATCACTCCCTCAGAATGTCCTCTTTCTGGGCAGATGGGCCTACTTTCAAAGATAGAACTGGATTGCAGCCCCCGCCACCCCCGTTTTTCTTTTCAAGAATGCTTATGGGTTTTACGGAGGGCATTCTTGTAGGCAGAAATGATACTTTACAGCAGGCTAGCTTACCATTTACTTTCTCATGTAATTAAAATCTTAAGGAATAAAATCAGATGGAGCATGCAGACAAAGATATCATGGTTATCCATTGTTTACTTCTGTCATTGTCATTTTGAAATAACTGAAACTTGAAGGTGTTTTGCTGGAACATCTGGGCCAAACAAGGGATAAATACTTTAAATCTATTGATTTATCATGATTGTGTCTTAAAGACATTGAGATAGTGCATTCTGAATATTATATACCTATAACATTTGTTTGGCAATATATACAATTGAAACATGTCTTGACTCAACAGTATGGCTGAGATGAGCAGCCTGAGAGGTACTTGAAGTCCTAGGATCCTTAAGAGATGAAATATTTGAAGCAGAACCACCAATACAAATTTATAAGGAATTAAAAACAGGATGAAGGTTAGCATCAGTTACATATCTGAACTGTGGAACAAAAAGTTGGAAAACCCAATCTTGGAAAATCACCGAGTTTTCCTTTAACTAGTTTTTCACCCTTTTTTCTTTCTTTTTTGTCATGTTTAATCACCACCAATGTATCTAGATTCTTTTGTCACTGTATTACCATTATTATATTTTTCTGTTGGTGTTAATAGTTGTTTGTATTCCACTACTGAACTAATCTTTTATAAAATCTGTCATAGATTATGAAGAGCCACTGCAAGTCAGAACGCATAGGTCACATGTAGAAAGTCACAGATTCAACTTCTGGCAGGTATCTGTGGTTGCTGTGTCAAAAAAGACCAATGTTTTGGGTGGGGGGTGGAGGGTTGGTTGATTTTGTTATTGTTTGGTTTATTTATTTATTTGTTGAAGGGGTGTTAGCTACAGTTGAAAAAACAGGGTCAGGCCTAGTTATGATTTTAATCCACCATGCAATCCCAGTGCTGAAGGCCAGAATAGGAAATTTTAAAAAATTTTCCAGAAGAAGGCCATAGTGGGCCATACCCTCACTGTTGCCAAGAAAACTATCTAGATGTATTCGTGTAGTCACCAGAGATAAACTGGTACCTCAGAGGACCCTTTACCTTACACTACCTAGAATGACATAGAGCAAAAATATTTCTAAATTTGCTTTAAATTTAAAGGAGAACATATTTTTTATTTTTTGCATTAAAACAACAAGCTACTTCTAGCTCATCTTTTTTCACATACAACTGTAACAAGTTTTAGGTGCTGTACATAAACATTATAACCTTTTCAACCTCATGCTATTTGAGAAGCTTGGTATTAAGAATTTCAGCAGCCCTAAGATGTTTCCAAGTCAGCTGCACAAGCTGGAACAACTTGTGATATTGGTTTGATGTCACACTGTAGTGTCCTAGTTGATTTCTAGTAGGAACTAAGCCAGTGGGCTTGTCCTGAAGCAAACAATATTATCAATGAATGGCATAACCAATTCTAAAGTTCTTGTGACTTCATTAACAACTCAGTGAAGCTACAGTGAATGTATATTGACATTAAATAAGTAATTCCTGGAGGATTTGTGAAAAATATGGTCTCAGTTAAAGCACAAGGAAGAGAAAGGTAGGCAAGTAAATAAGTCAAAGTAATTTTGACTCATTAGATATGGTGCTTTGTTTGATCTTTCCTTCAAAGAACTCAGAGCAGCATTTTAAGCAAATTGATAGTTTTCCATTGCCAGAATTTCATGGGCCTTCCATTGCAACCTTGTCATATGATACATTTTAGATTTGTTGGAGCTAAAATTCCCATTATTCCAAGCCAGGATAAACATTGTTCCTATTACCCTCACTCGGGATAATGAGACTTGTAGTAATCTTCAAGAAAGGACATATAATCTATTTGGGGTCAGCTCCAGTTGAAATCTGAAGATTTTCTTCCAAGTAGACGTAGTCTGAATTGTACAATGTACTGTATTTAAGATTAGTCTGTGAATAAGCTTCACCTTTCTGTTTCGTGTGCTTTAGTACTTGATAAGCATATATGCAAGTAATGTTGCTCTGTCTCTTAAAAAATACCATTCTTTCTTTGCTTAAGCCAATAAAAATAAAGATGATAAGGCCTTTGCTAATTGTAATGCTTGATCTAGTACACACAGCTCCATAGCTAACATAGTATGCACTGTGGAAATGTACAAATTTGTTTGCTGTGGTATAGCTCTGCTTTTATCTCTTTTTTTCTCTTATGGAGAATCCTGACAATTGTGTTCACACATGGAACATGGATTATGTATGAAATACGGAATGTTTATGACAAATTGTTGAATTAGTAAGTATGCAGAACTCTGTTTCCTGATGGATTTATTTTGGTACTGTTCTTCTTGCAATGTAGTGAGTTCTCTGATACAGTGTTACCTATTTGGTATTCTCATTGTGCTTTTTCTTCAGTGCTATATTTCCAAAGCAGCACAGGGGAGATACAAACATGAGGAAGAAATAGCTGTATGAAGTGTTGGATATTGAGGAAGCATTATGCTGATTAGGGATTAGGTCAAACAAAAAAAGGAGCAACAAATAAGGCAAATAAGGAGCAGCGCAAGCTGAGCTAAATCCATAGAGTTTGGAGCATTTGGGGCAAAATATTAGATCTGTTTTAAAAATCAGTCTGGGTAAGAGCCAAGTGGAGATTTTGCTGTTTTATAAAGAAGCATGTAAATAGGACAGTAAAAAAAAACAAAGGCTGAGGGAGAAATTGCAGAAAACCTGGCAATGATACCTTTTTTTTTTCTCTCAGAAAACCTGTCTTAGGAATCTTAGTAGTAACTATATTAGTATTTGACAAGCTCCTGAACAATGGAGAGAAAAGAATTATAAAAAATTCTGCTTCTTGTTAAGCCGTGAACTTTTTCTGTCCTACGTATTTTGTGTGGAATGCTGGATCGTGAATCCACAGTATAAATTCTTCTTTCTTACTATTTGTTTAAATTATTTATATTCTAAGCTGTTTTTCAGTTCTGCACTTTTATGCCATAAATATTATGAAGCATAGTTTGCTTAGCTGGTAATGTGTGTAGAGCAATGCCTTACACAGCTTTTGAAGGTAGTCAGTAACAATATGATTGGCCATGCATGTAACCTTATCTCTTGTTTAGATTTGATTGTGTACCACAATATATGGCAGCTAACAGCTAGGCTTACAAGAGAGATAGGTTTCGTAGAAATCACAGTTTCAGATTACTGCTTGAAAATTAGCTTTAGAAGAAGAAATCTCCAAATTCACTGTTATACAGAGAGTTCTGATGTGGGGCACCCTAACATTTTTCTGTGTATGGTCCCTTTAAAATTGCAAGCTTCCTTGCCTAAGACAATTTCTAGCAGTGGCTCACATTGTCCAACTGATATTTTTTGAAATCCTTCCCAAATGCTAGATAAGAAATACAGGTAGTCCCCAGTTTAAGAACGAGTTCCATTCCCAAGGTCTGTCCTTAAGTTGAATTTATAAGCCGGAACGGTATTTTTGTATAATATTGCATAAGTAGTATTGTGTAATTAACTCAAACCATTGTGTATTTAACTTTAATCATTGTGTATTTAACTCAGATTTTGCTATAGTAGGCTCTGTTCTTAACTATGGATTGTCCGTATACCAGGCGTTCTTAATCCGGGGACTACCCGTACTCTATTATAACCACTCATAATAGGAGATGGACAAAATTCTCTTAAGTATTCAGAACAGGAAGTATACACTAATATGCATACACGTAATGCATTTCCATTTATAATAATCAGGCAAAACATATTAGATATATAGCTGAAGATTTTTTAAAAACTGAATTTAGAAGCATGATCATCTACAATGTAGAAATGGGCAACTTTGGAGATGTATTTTCATTAGTACTGCTTATATTGAAAATGTTTTTATTTAACATTGCAGTGGAATGAATAATAGATAGTAATTTATCAAGTAGTAACTTGTAATAGGTTTATTAATGCTTGGACAAAGAGTTATATAGGGAAAAGAGTTTTACCATGTATCTGCTAAAAAATTCAAGAAAGGGAAATTACAATAGGCTAACAGGTTGCTAACTTTATCATAAGTCCATATAATTAATTGCGTACACAGAAAAATATTGTCACATAAGGCTGCAATTCTGTGCATACTTACTCAAAAGCAAACTTCTGCTGAGTTAGTGGGACTTTCTTTAAAACAAATGAGCATAGTTTGCAGCCTTGCTTTCTGCCATACCTTTGGCTTCTTCTGTAACTGCAACTTCTCATCATCCCTCAAAATCTGCCGTGGAGACTCCTCCAGGCCAGATTTGAAAACTGCATGAAGGACTGTATCTTTGGATCAATAGACTTGGCAATTTAGAAGTAATGTACAGTAGTAAAATGTTGAGCAATAGAACATTTGTGTTTATATTATTACTATTGCTATAAAATCCTATATTAATTTTTAAATTGCCATATTTTAAATTAGGAGTGCACAAAACTTTCAAACCATTTTGAGCATGAAACTTTTGGCTCAAAACACTGCCAAAATGTTTGGAACAACTCAACAGCTTTGTACTCAAAAGGGGTTTTTGCAAACTTTTATGCTTGAAATAAAATATTTTTGCACACCCTTTATTTCAGGAAGCTTTCCAGTAAATGAAAATGGGCTACTGTTTTGATGTTTACAAAGACTCATGATTCATAACTATAATGCAGCATTTTTTTATAGATAATGAATGTTGTTTCAAAAGTTTGGAATGTACACAAACAGGAAAGCCAAAATAACTGGTACTCTCCAGAGGTTTTGGACTATGTCTGGACAATGGGCCATCTTGTTTCTGTACATGAACTGGAATGATGAACTGATATGTAATTTTTGAAAAGTTAGATCACAAATCTCAATTTAGTCATTACTTATATTATCTCATCTGTGTTTGTTGTTAATATTCCAGAATTCGTTAGAGCTACCTTTTAGGGAATGATTGGCTAGTTGGATAGCATTATTAGACTTCTAGATTTCTTTTTAACTTTAGGTATTAAAACTCAGCTCTTTAAAAGGAACTGACATAGTTTGAACTGAACCCACTTTACATACAGATTCTTTCTCTTCTCTCTGCTTTCCTAAAATTCGCTTTGGAAAGTGTCCCAACTTTTGGAACAATTTTAGGGGGTTAGTATGGGGTTGCCCCTTTTTTGCTTAATTGGTGCTCAGTTCTATTACTGGGTTGCTCCAAAAGAGCTTTTTAATGTGAATACTGGGATGTTATCAAGCACAGATAGATCTAATAGAAGTGAATTTGTGTAGCTCAGGGTTGAACTGTGGAGTCCTTGGGGTTCTCTGAGCTTGGTTGTTTTCTT